ATTGATTCATTGTTAGTGATTCCGGGTGCGTCCAGTCCAGTAAGTGTAATGCATGCGCTTTTCCTCTGGAGGTGGCGGTGGTCTTCCCTCTTGGTTGGCGAAATCCTGCGCCACATACCGTGGGCTAGCGGGATTTTCCCCATCCAGGTATCTCCCACTAGCGGGGCACCACCCCAGAAGCCACAAGCTCTAAGCTCTTACCTGGCCCCCTTTCATGAATGGTAGTATAGTGCATGTTAGCGTGTGTGTAACTAAAGGGAGAGAATAGGACAAGGAAGAGGAAGGAAAGATCGCGAGCGGTTCGTAGCCCGTTTGTTAGGGTACTGCTCCGGCATTCGCCTGTTGTTGATCAAAGAAACCGGGGAAAGCTTCCGATCAGTGCAACCGGCCGCTAGAATTGTCCTCCAGAGAGCGATTGAATTCGACCTGCCGAAAATCCTGCCACCGTCGGGACTCGAAACTCGGACCTCGCGGTCAGAGGCACTCAGTAACAGCACTTTGTACCCTGAGCCACCTCTTCCGGTGGGGCGGGTTGGGCAGAAGCTCAGGGGTGGCACAGCATGGTGCGGCACCATGGCATCACAACCTCCAAGCGCGGCGCGGCGCCAAGAACTCCTCGTTGGTCCATCGCGGAGAAGCTTTTACGGCTTCCGCGTAGGAGGGCGATTAAATTGCTCATTCCTTTGAGGACTGGTCGCTTTGCGAGAGCTGCCGTAGGTATGTAGGTAGTGGACGTGGAGGTCGATTCCGATTGCATTATTTGTGTACTAGGCGCCGTGTTCGTTCGGTTGTTTCAAATCGTTAATGCGGTAACTGGTTGTGACACACCCCTTCGGTCCTCTTCGTTGGAGCTTCTCGTAGCTCCCCTCCCCTAGCGATTCTGCGAAGATCTCTTCACCTTTTCCCCCTCCGTCGTTATATGTTGCTCTCTCTCTCTCTCTCTCTCTCTCTCTCTCTCTCTCTCTCTTTCTCTCTCTCTCTCTCTCTTTCGCAAAACCCACCTAGCTCACCGAAACTCTCCCTTAAAACAGTTTATCGCAGTAATTTTATTCTGAGAGAAATTAGCGTATTCATTTGACTACAATGAAATTTCTTGTTTTTTCCACTCTTGTCCCTTGTGCTTGTCCCTGGACTGTGTGCAGTAATCAGCTGGAAACATGACATCAACGATATAAAATGCAAAATAAATTATTCATGGAATATGTAATAAAAAATCTGGGAATGAGTTTATGACGTCTGTTATTTTTCTCAGGATGATCAAGACTCTTCCAGCTTTCCTATCATGATACTTTTTCCTGTCCCTCCCCGCTCGGTCCGCGCGCCGTTTGTATATATTTCTAATACTGTTCATCTTCGGCATCTTCATTATCTCGAATGTCTTGTCACGTTCCTCCCCTCGATCTTGTTATTTCCATGATACCATCCCTTGCGATCCCGTTCCAATAACTGTGTTTGTAACCCTCCATTCTTGCATTTCAAATTCGTGTCCTCATCCCACGACGCTCTTCCTCGCCGCAATTGATCCTCCCTTCGCCATGGCGTCGGGGACGCGCGCCGCTTCTCGGAAGCCGGGGCGACGCCTACGCTCCGCTTCCTCGTTAGCGGCGTCGTCGGGTCCTTCGCCTGCCTGTTTCACAATACGCATGCTGCTGCCATGGCGACGTCGATGCGGTCAATAGACCCGTCTATAAAAGGGATTTGTATCATTTTTCAGTGCCCTGATCGGCATCTTTTATTCTTTACTTCCTGGTCGTCTCATCTTTTCCATTCTTATCCATCTCCCATCTCCCCTCACGTTGCTACCAACTTTGTACGCTCGCACAATATCGCGACGTATTGTTCAGTATACGTATCAAGCTTTTTCCCCTCCGAATAGATTTAATTCCTTTCTCTCGATCCCGTTTTTATTACTTTAACACTGTTCGGCCTGCCTGCTGTCCGTTTCCCTTCTCGTTTCTTAAGCATTCACATGATGGGCACAGAAGGTATCCCAGTTTCCTGTCATTTCATGAATCCGCGTTACTTTCCACCCTGCAACGATATTTTCTTCATATTCCCGAAATCGCGCTTCCTGTGTTCACGAACGCATCAGCCGTGACCGCACTGCCACTGCTTCCATCACCTCGAAGCAGCACGACTCGATGCCCCAGGTCCAGGCAGTCAGTACCGGAACCCTATCCTGTAATTTTTGTAATTTGATATAATCAATGTAATCTACCATTACGAGCTAAGTTTACCGGTGCGTCCTTTTGTTCGTTTTGCGTTAATCAGTGCTCCATCGCCTCGCTTAGTGGCGTCCGCGCC